TGGGCAAACGTGTGGAAAATGGTGTATAATGTGAGAAAATGTGAAATTGTCCATTTTGGCAGGAAGAATACAAAAAGCATATTATTATCTAAATTGTGAGAGATTGCAGAGTTCTGAGATGCAGAGGGATCTGGGTGTCCTCATGAATGATTCAAAAAATGTTCATGTACATGTACAGCTAGTAATTAGGAAAGCTAATAAAATGTTTAATCATTAGTTTAGTTTGGGATTATGTTCAGCATGGACTGGTTGGACAAAAGGGTCTGTCTTTGTGCTGTATGAGTCTATGATGAGCCTATGATACAAAGTAGGAAGTGTGTTTTTCAATTATACAGGACAATGGTGAGACTGCATCTGGACTATTGTGCACAGTATTTAAAAGAAGGATGTAATCAAAGTTTTGGCAAAAATCTGTAGCTTGGGTTGTGGGTGAGGTTGTTGACTTGCTCGCTGAGCTGGTTTGTTCTTGTTCAGGCGTTTCATCACCATGCTAGGTAACATCATCAGTGGAGCCTCCGATGAAACGGTGTTATTCTACTTCACTTGGAATTTATACTGTCTGGTCCATTGTGATGAGTACTGTCATTTCCGGTTTTTGATCTGTATGGGTTTGTATATGGGGTCCAATTTTATATGTTTTTTTATTATATTACGGGTCGAGAACCATGCCTCTAGGAATTCCCGTGCGCGTCTATGTTTGGCTTGGGCTACTATAGTTACGATGTCCCAGTTAAACTGATGACCTTCATTGTCTGAGTGTACTGATATTAAGGAAAGTTCGTTGTGTCGTTTTGCTGCTAGCTGATGTTCATGTATTCTGATGGTTCGTTTCCTTCCTGTCTGTCCTATGTAATATTTGTGGCAATTGTTGCATGGTATTTTGTAAACCACGTTGGTTCTGCATGTTGTGGGAATTGGGTCTTTAATCCTTGTGTTTGTCGTAGAGTGGCTGTGGGCTTGTGGGCCACCATGATTCCTCATGGTCTTAGGAGTCTTGTTGTCAGTTCTGGTCTGTTCTTGATGTATGGCAGTGTGGCCAGTGTGTTAGGGCGTACTGTGCCCTCCTGTTGTTGTCTGTTTAGTAGGCACCTGTAGATGAAGTTGCGGTGATATCTGTTTATAGCGAGGATTTTGTATAGGTATCCCCGCAACTCATGCACAATTCCAGCTCTTTCACAGCCAACTTGTCAATTAAGCTAGTACTGCCCTTAGGGTTCTCTTACCTCCAATCTCCTGACCTACAGCATGTAAATGCCACTCCTGGTTTTCGTTGTGCACCAACTCTCAGCAGTGCCACTGGCCCTGAACGCTAATGTTCTGAACCCCCTAATGCAGCAAACAGCTCCCAATCATCTCCTGAGCACCAAGTGCAAAGAACTACAAAGCAGCTGCTGGGGCTTCAATAAGCTCTCAACTCCTCAGAGCTAGCAGCAACACTTTAGCTGTATTGAGCTATATGTTTGACCCCCTTCCTCTTACAAAAACTGCCCTTAAACTACTGCTTATTGATCCTTGAACCATTTTGATTGACCTTTGAAACATTCCCACAGGGTCACAAATTTAATACATGGTATAATCAAATGATTTCCTAATTCCTTCATGGATATGGGATGGCAGTCTAAGTCACTATTTATTGCTTTACCTAATTACCCTGGAAAAGGTAGTGGTGAGCTGCAGCACTTGGGGTACAGGGCGACACACAGTGCTGATAGGAATGGATTTCCAGGATTTTGACCCAGTGACTGTGAAGGAACAGTAATATTCTTTCAAGTTTGCATAATATGTGCCTTGGAGAGGACCCTGCACATAGTAGGATCTGCTGCCTTTGAGCTTCTAGGTGAGTGTGGTCCCTGGTTTGAGTGGTACTTTGTAAGTTGCTGCAGTGCATCTTGTAGATAGTAGACAATGCCACTGCTATGTGTTGGTGGTGTAGGGAGTGAATGTTTACAAGTTGTGGAAGTGGTGCCAATCAAGTGGACTGCTTCGTCTGGGATGGTATCAAGCTTCTTGAGTGTTGTTGGAGCTGTATCTAACCAGGCAAGTGGAGAGTATTCCATCACACTCCTGACTTGTACCTTGTAGATGCTGGACAGGCTTTGGGGAGACAGAAGGTGAATTATCATGAGTTCCTTGCAGCCAACCTGCTTTTGTAGCCATTATATTTATATAGTCGATTTAATTCAGTTTCTGGTCAATGATGACCTCCAGAATGTTGGTGGGGTTGGAAATTTAGTGATTATATTACCGTTGAATATCAAGGAGAGATGGTTAGATTCTCTCTAATTTAAGACAGTCATTGATTGATACTTGTGTGATGGTACAATTAATTATCAGCTATTAACCCAATGCTGAAAGTTGCCTAGATTTTGCTGTAAATGTATGTAGACTGCTTTAGTGCAATCATCAATAAAGATCCTCACTTCTGACCTGATGATAGAGGGAAGGTCATAAATGAAGCAGTTGTGTATGGCTGGGCCTAGGTGACTGATTCTGAGGAATTCCTGCAGAGATGTCCTTGGATTAACCTGCAGCATCCATAAATGTCTTCCTTTCTGCTGGCTATAGCTCCAAACAATGGAGATTTTTTGCCTGATACCTCTTGTCTCCAGTTTCACTAGGATTCCTTAATGCCGTGCTCAGTCAAATGCTGCCTTGATGTAAAGGGCAGTCAGTCTCACCATATCTCTAGACCAAGGCTGTAACGAGGTCAGAAGCTGAGTGATCCTGATGGAACCAAACTGAGCATCAGTGAGCAGGTTATTCCTGATTAAAGGCTGTTTTTGATCACACTGCTGAGAACTCTACCATCATTTTGCTATCATCAAGTATCGATTGATAGAGCACAATTTGTCGGGTTAGGTTTCTCATGTTTTTTGTGGACAATACTCACCCAGAAATTATCCACATTGCTGGGTCGTTGCCAAAGTTGTAACTGTACTGCAACAACTTTGCTAAAGGGTGCAGCTAGCCCTGGAGCACAATTCTTCTGTGCTAATGCCAGAATACTGTCAGGACCCATAGGGACTGCAGTATCTACTGTCTTCAGCCATTTCTTTATGGGACCTGGAGTTAATTGAATTGGTTGAAGAGTGGAATCTGTGATGTTCTGAACCTCTGAAAGAGGCTGAGATAGATCATTCACTTCTTATGAAGCAGTGATCAACACCCCCACCCCAATAACTGAAACCAAAACACCCAGAGAAGCTCACCTCGCCTCATAATCTGTTAAAGGAAATGTGAAAAGTGGTAAAACCTGCCTTTCAGCCCCAATCTGTTATAAAGGGAGGTTAAATAAAATGAACTCCTGACAACGACTCTATAATCACCAAGTAACAATGTAGCTATCTAACTCTAACAGGGAAAAATTAACAGAAGCACTAACAAACCAAACAATTCCCTCATAACTACTTAACTATTCCCAAATAGAACAAAATTCTAATGGTATTCTGTTCCAATAAATACAAGTCCCACTTCTATAAACCAAATTAATCGAAAAAAACTTAAAACTTATTCTCTTTAAAGAACAGTTAGGATACATCCCCAGAATTCTCCGCGTCCTCAGCACTTATTCTCTGTCCAGGATGCCTTTCTCTGTCGAGTTCTTGTGTCAGGAATATTAGCTGAGTCAGATGGTTGTTTTCCGAGAATTTAGAGGATTCTGAGAGCTTAGAGAATTCTGCGAGAGCCAGTGATTTTTTTCTTTAGTGCTGCTGGTTGTTAACTGTAACAGAACTGTAACTTCAAATGAGGAAAAATGAGATTAAAATGGTTAGGTGGTTTTTTTTGACCATCACAGACTTGATGGCCCATCAAGTCTGTGATGGTCAAAAAAAAGAACTTTTTCTGTACTATAGGTCTCTATAACTCTCCTCTTTTGTAGTGGGGTGCAAAATGCGTCTACCCAGAAATGCAACCCACAGGTTTGATCGTGGTGACAATATTTCAAGGCGATTGTATGCTTGTTTTGCTGCTGATGTCTTGACAGCCTTAGACCTGACATCAGTTTTCATTTGCCACTGTGGAAGTGCATAGCCACAACCTTGCAGCTTTCTTCGAGGTCAACACTGAGGGCTATTGTTTCACTCCTACTATGAAGCCCAGAACAATGACTCAAAATATAGCAGCTTGATCTTCATTTTGCTTTGGCTCAAATATTAAATAATTATAATCATAATTGTAAACTTTGATAAATTGTTTATGTAATTAGGTTCTGTTATGATTTGGAAAATGATCTCCCAGTTTTGTCAGGAATCATCACAATAAAGATCTGACATAGGCAATAAAATTGCACTCAACTTCAGCAGATCAGATAGGCATATAGATGATAATATAAGGTAGGGGTGGAGGTTAGATAGACTTTAGGTTTAGGGTAAAATTTCGGCACAACATCGTGGGCCGAAGGGCCTGTACTGTGATGTACTGATCTATGTTCTATGTTCTATAAGTTCATCGCAAACTAAACAAAGAAGTTATTTACACTGGCTAACATTACTCTTAGAAACCCATTTTTACACATATGTTTACAATCCATAACATATTAAGACGTTTAATATTGATGACAAATATTTAATTTCTTTAGTTTTATTTTAAAAAATCATTCCTTGAGAAGGTGATGGTGAGCAATTTTCTTCAACCACTACAGTCTACTTGAAATGGGTAAACCAACAATGCTGTTAGGAAGGGAATTCCAGGATCTTGATCAACAACAGTGAAGAATCAGTATATATTTCCAAGTATTTTTTGACTGGATTTATGATTGTCACACATACAGTGAAAAGTTTTGTTTTGTGAGCAGTACAGACAGATCATACCATACAAAGTCAGGATGCTAAGAACAAGTGGTGATGTTGCTATGTATCTGCTGTCCTTGTCCTTCTAGGTAACCAAAGGTCTACGGCTGTTTCCACTTAAGTAGCATTTTTGATTAAAATCATTAAGAAAATATTATAATAATGTAACTTTTCTGGCTGAGAACAAATTTCATCATAGTACGTTATCTGTTAGGTTGCAAATATAACTTTAATAAAAATGATACTATACAAGTAACATATTTGTGAAACAGCATTTTTATAAAAGTTTAAGTGGAACAAAGTAAAGAGCATTGCAAATAATGTAAACAGGACTGAATAGTTCTGCAATTTCATAGTTGTACTAAAAACATAGGCCTAAAATTTATCCCCAATTTATGTATTCGTTGCACCTGAATGGTGAGATCTAATATTGCATCAAGATTGGGCCTCGGGTCTTATTTTAACAGAGCCAGTACGTGATGTAAGCCCACAGGGAGTCAACAGTTATGCCACTGCTAATTTTATATCATCTGTCATTAAAGTGGGTCAGGTCACAGTGATTGGGGATGGGTTTGCAGGAGAGTGGGGCCAATTAATCGCCTTAACATTTTGTCACAGGAGTGCTTCTGCTTTCCACAGCTCCACATTCAGAGAAGCTTCTCATAGAGAAAGGATGCTCCGCACACCCATATCTAGATTACTGCATTGTAAATAATCTTTGAAATGTATGAGTCAATCCTTGCTCGAGAAGTCCAGTAGAAAATGTAGAATAATGCTTTGGTATATCACTAACAAAGATGTTACAAGAAACTGTCATCCTCTCATATCCTGTGTTATTCCTGAGTGACACTGGTCTGCTATCTAGTCATCTTCATTTACTTCAACCACAAAAGGTGTTTTCACGTCTATCTTGCCACTATTTACAATCACACAGTCTTGAAGAGGTAGGTTTTCATTGTTTGTTTCCTGGAGCTCTATCATGTGTACCACAGGCTTAAAAAATGAAAAAAAAAATCTGTTAGTAACATTCTGGAAGAATTATTAAATTTACATTTTTTACAGTCCTCAACAGATACCGTATCATCAGGACCAATGTGACAGTTAATTATGGTCCCATGCGTCCCAAACTCACCTTTATTGCAACAGTTAATTGGAATTTTGCATGGAATGTTCTCCAATTATGCTCATTCCTGCTCCCATTTTCTTTAACTATGTTCAACCCCAAATGTCCTGATAATCTGGAACATAAGCTAGGGGACCCAGAAAGAAGAAGAGCCCAAGACAGGCATTAAGTGTGATCTAGAGGCATCAGAACAAAAGAAGACCCCTAAACAGGCAGTCAGTACCACTACGGGGAGGAGGCCAGAAAAGATGCAGTAGCAATCAGTCAGAGACAGAGCTAAATACATCGGAGATGTTGGAATTGGTTCTTGCTGTACTAAAGAGAAAGAAATTAGCTATGTGTGACTTTCTTGTAAGTGGTTAAGGTCTTTCCTATTATTAAACGATACTATACAAGTGACATATTTGTGAAACAGCATTTTTATAAAAGTTTAAGTGGAACAAAGTAAAGAGCATTGCAAATAATGTAAACAGGACTGAATAGTTCTGCAATTTCATAGTTGTACTAAAAACATAGGCCTAAAATTTATCCCCAATTTATGTATTCGTTGCACCTGAACGGTGAGATCTAATATTGCATCAAGATTGGGCCTCGGGTCTCATTTTAACAGAGCCAGTACGTGATGTAAGCCCACAGGGAGTCAACAGTTATGCCACTGCTAACTTTAAATCATCTGTCATTAAAGTGGGTTAGGTCACAGTGATTGGGGATGTGTTTGCAGGAGAGTGGGGCCAATTAATCGCCTTAACATTTTGTTACAGGAGTGCTTCTGCTCTTCACAGCTCCATATTCAGAGAAGCTTCTCATAGAGAAAGGATCCTCCGCATCCAATTTGTTACAACTTGCCAACTAAAAGAAACCAATTTATCCCAACTTTCTGCTTCCTGCCAGCTAACCAATCCTACTTTCATTCTAATATGTTACCATGATGCCATGTGCTCTAATCTTGTAGTGTAATCTTTAGAACATAAGAAATAGAAGCAGGACTTAGCCCTTCAAGGCTGCTCTGCCATTCTATAAGATTGTGGCTGATGTTCTAATTTACACCATTTTCCTGCACTATCCCAGCATCCCATGATGTTTTTAATGCGTACAAGTCTATGAATCTCAGTTTTGAACTTGCTCAATGTCCTCTGAAGTGGGGATTTAGAATTTCCTCCTCATCTCTGTCCTAAATGGTTTTCCCTTATTCTAAGACTGTTTCCCCTGGTTCAGGACTAGTCTTGTTAACCACAAGAGGCTCTTCTAGTTAGACCAGGAATTGGTCTACATTCGCCACATTAGATCCAACCAACTCTGTAGAATCCTAGCCACTTTGTAGCAACTTTCATCATGAGAATCAGATCATACAGCATTGTGAACTGGCCTGCCCAGAGAACAAACATTAGAGCTAAGGTCCTCTCTCCTAACAATTTCAATCATCTCCCTAAATAGCAGAGCTACCACACTACCTTTCCCAGCATCCCGTTCTTCATGATTGTCAAATACCCTTGGATTTTGTGGTTTCTGCTTTGGTTTCCCTATATCCATGTTTCCCTAGTTGCTATCAGGTCATAAATGAATTGCTATTTGAACTGATAATTCATCTGGTTTATTGTTGTTTAATGTGGTACTTTATCCAATGCCCTTTCGAAATCCAAGTAGGCTGCATTCACAGGTTCCCTCCTTTCTAACTTGCTTATTAGCGCCTCAAAAAGATTCAATTTAATTAGGTAAATACAATCTCCCTTTCACAAAGCTATGTTGAGTCTGCTTGAATGTATATATGTAGAGCTATCCAGTGTTTGCAGCATTGGGATGGAATACAGCTGACTTTCAATGGAGGAGACTGCAGATCGCCTTTGAGCAGCCAAGTCAGCAACACCAAGCAGCTTTATGAGGCCAGCTTCAGACAGCGCCACCTCAACAGGGCGGTAGTGGTCTGGGCCAATTGGCTGGCAGCTGGAAATGTGGGGGGTTGAAGAACAAATGTTGTCCCCCTGAGAGAAGATGAAGCCCCTGCTACTGTCTTAGTGCAGTACCTGAGCAATCCTATTGAAGGACATGTTTGCTGGACTGTTAGGACACTGCAAGCTGCTTGATCACTGCTATCCATAGTCACAGTGGCACCAGCTTGGCAGAAAGCTGCGTTTGCTCAACTTCAGTCTGAGATTGCGCTGGAATACTCAGGCATTTGACAGAAACTGTTCATTCTGCAAGTGAAGCTCAGACAGCAGTTATCAGAAGCTGCATTATGGCTAGTTCCTCAAGTGGAGTCGAACAACGTTTTCATGCTCAAAAGGATGGGTCTGAAGCTCTGCACAAAGTCCAATGTCAGATTGGTGTCAGGCTCATCCATTTTCATTAACTTTGACTGCAGGTTTCTCGCAGTTTTCCCACTGCACCAAGTATCTTGTCGGGTTTTGCCATCAGCCCATTTCTGCAGCCTGGCCACCAAACTCTTCATTTGAGTTCTCTATAAAAGTTGTATGTGACTTTGTCCTCTGGCAAGCTGGTGTTTGTGCGATCTTTGTCGCTATGCCTTGGTTGCAGCCCACTCTCTCATCATGTGCTAATCTTGCCTCTGATCCATCCTCTAAGATATACATAGTTTCCGCATCTGAGCTGGTGACTGTGAGTGTGACCGAGCAGGCTGCACTTAGGTAACTGAAAGAGAAATAGCACATGGGTAAGGAAGGGTGGTGATGGTGGTGCGGAGGAGCATGGAAAAAGTAAGATACTTACACATTTTGAAAATTGTAAGTCAGAAGAAGTTGGAGAATGAAAAAAGATGAAGGGTGCAAGAAGGAGAATGAGAGTATCATTATTTTTAGTGTTTTCACTATCAGCTCCTAAGACCTCAACAACAGTTTTTCTGATAGTGGGGTGTAGACAGCACTGTCTCCCCAGGGAAGTAAGGAGATGCAGACATGGTTTTCCCCCTCCAGTTAATTCCTCTTATTTTCTCTTGTGCATTACCTTCTCCTGCAAGAGAGAGGGAACAGCCTCAGCGATTATTGTGCAATATGTTTAGATGATGTGGCTGTTCTGGATGTGTTGCGAGTTGGGATATGTGGATCGGAGGCATTTTTTTTGTTTGTTCATGGGATGTGAGCATTGCTGGCAAAGCTGACATTCACTGCTCAATCCTAAATGTCCTTGAGAAGGTGGGGGTGATATGCTTTCTTTCAGTCTATGTTGTGTAGATACACCCATACTGCTGTTAGGGCAGGATTATCAGGAACGTGTTCAACGATAGCAAAGGAATAGTTCATAGTTCAGAGAATCCCTACAGTGTGCAAACAGGCCCTTCAGCCCAACAAGTCCACACGGCCCATCCAAACAAGCATCCCACCCAGACCCATTCCCCTAATTTCCTATGTTTAACCCACCTAACCTAAACACAATGGGCAACTTGGCATGGCCAATCCACCTACCCTGCACATCTTTGGACTGTGGGAGTAAACCGGAGCACTCAGAGGAAACCCACACAGACACGGGGAGATTGTGCAAACTCCACACAGACAGTTGCCCGAGGCTGGAATCGAACCTGGGTCCCTGGCACTGTGAGGCAGCAGTGCTAACCACTGAGCCACCATGCCACCCCAAGAAACCTGGGCTCATCTAGGAGTTGAACCCAGGACTTCTTGCATGTCACCGTTGTACAGTACCCTAAGCGAGATTCATACCCCTAGACCAAAAAGCCATCTAATGGTGATAAAGTTCCAAGACAGGATGGTACACAAGTTTGAGATGAACTTGAAAGTGATGACATTCCCTTGTGTCTGTTACCTGTGTTTTTCTAAGTGGTTGAGATTGCAGATTTGAAATGTTCTATTAAAGAAACGTGCATTTTATAGATGGTACACAATGTAGTCATTGCACATCAAAGAACATTCTGATGCCATCAGACTATTCAAGATAGAAGATACACAGGTTTGAAAATGAATGATTGATGCGTTGCTTGCGAGGGTGGTGGAGACAGCTACTCTCGCAACATTTAAGAATCAGCAGAATGAGCACTTAAAATGCCAAGGCATTCTAGGCTATGGATGGAGTACAGGTAAATGGGATTAGTGCAGAGTGGTATTTTTGGTCTGCTTGGCTATGGTGGGCCAAAGGGCCTGTTTCTATGCTGTACAACTCTATGGCTACGACACTAGTAGTGGAATGAGTGAATGTTGAAGGTGGTGTGCGGGATGCTAATCAAACAAGCTACTTGGTCATGGATAGTGTCAAATTTCTTGAGTATTATGGGGCAGCATTTATCCAAACAAGTGGAGAATATTCCATTGCACTCCTGACTTCTGCTTTATATTAGTGCTGAACGGAAGATGAAACATATGATTGTTAGGAATGAGTCTTGACTGATAGATGTTATTGATGGGAAGTGTAGCATAAGTGTGGTGATGAGCAGGGATTGAGGTTCATGGTACCGTTGATAGGATATGGCATTAGAGATACATTCAATGACCTTGGATACTCATAGTGAGACATTGAACTTCTTGCAGCATTGCATCCAGGAACTTGGCATTGACTTCTGGAATTAGCCTCTTCACTGCGTGCTTGGAGGCCCTCCTGGTGAGCCGTTAGTACAGGACTTTGCTGCACCTTTCCACCAAGAGCTCTGGCGTGGCATCAGAAAACCTAAGTGCTTGCTCTCTCCCATGTTCAGCCACTCCCAACGCCTGCTCCAGCCATATGCACTTTTGCTTTAAATAGGTGCAGGCAAGTTTCCAAGTTGGCAAACATAAAAGCAAAAGCCTGCAAATGCTGGAAATCTGAAATCAAAACTGAAAATTCTGACAACACCAGATGAGGCAGCGTGTCTGGGCAGTGAAATAAAGATAATGTGTGGATCTAATGCCCGTCCTCTCACCCCATGGTGGGTTAAAAGGTAGTAGATGTCATTGGATGGCGAGGGAGGGTGCAGGATGGGAAGCCCATCATACTCCCAATTCCCCATTGGTATTCAAGCATTGACTGCCATGCCAGTCACTGACTTGGGAGGCTGCCCAGTAAAGCCTGCCAGTTTCCAATCCCTCCTGCAGGCTCGGGTGCAGTACCAACAGTGACCACCACTGCAGCGGAGTGCTGCTGGTCTTTGATTGGTTGAAAGACATTGGGTCAGGGCTTCTGCCCTGCTGGGCCTTTAAGTGAGTGGGAGGTCCAACAATATCCAGGTAAGTGGCTGACTGTGTGGTAATTGTGTCAGAAGTGACACAGGGCTCAAGACTGCTCCCTAACCAGTGAGCAGGCTCCCCTCTCCAATGCCAACCCCCTCCCAATGCATTCAGTTAGATAAATTCCACCCCCATTTTTCAAGTAAATGGCCTTTCATCAGAGTGATAAAAGATCATCTTCTTGAAATGGTAATTCAATTTCTCTTTCTAAAGATGTTGCCTGACCAGCTAAATAGTTCCAGTGTTTTCTGTTTTATTACCTTTTTTGGGAGGTCCCTGGTGAGATGAGCAGACCATTAAAAGCATGCTGAGGGCTGACTGCATGCAGTACTCATGTAAATGAGCAGGCAGTATGAAGATTACACCTTGTGTATAGTGCATCCAATGAGTCATTTGCACAGAATATCCCCACACCCATTTTCAGTGTCTATGCATCAGCCACCAGCCTACTTAAGAACATATAAATAATCTTCCATTTCATGTTCACATTCAGGCCAACAAAAAGTGTACTGGATATACCTTTCACATGGAAACAGAAAACAACTGACTTAGTATGTAGAGATAGTAGGAACTGCAGATGCTGGAGAATCCGAGACAACAAGGTGCAGGGCTGGATGAACACAGCAGGCCAAGCAGCATCATAGGAGCAGAGAGGCTGACGTTTCGGGCCTAGACCCTTCATCAGA